GCCCACCAAAGCATCTGAGGACCAAAGAAGTCCCACCTTCTTCGCCCTGTTCTTGTTGTCCTTCTTGGCACGTCGTCCTGCGGGAACCGCTTTGCAAAGGCTTGGGGGGTTTAAACAAGCGGCTGGCCCCAAAACGAAAACCGACCGGTTTGGCCCAGGTGTTTAAGCATCGTGCGGGCTGGGGGGGAGGTAGGGGAGGGATAACCCAACCAGCCCTTGATAAGGCCTTGCTAAGGCCTTATGAAGGGCGAATTTGGGCTCCCTCCCCTCCCTCTCTCCCTCCCCCCGGCCCCCATGAGAAGCATGTTCAAACAAGCGATTGACTCAAGCTCCAGCCACCTCCCAGCGCCCCAGCGCCCCGCCTGGCCCGGTCTTCTCTCCGGCGATGCCGGTCTCAGCGCGGCGATGAAACTCAACCCACTGGCGATGAATTTTAGTCCGAGACCCTTTGGTGGACATCATCCAAATGGGGATTCCTGGGTCCACCACTTTTGAGGTGGTTCCCTATGAGGTTCCCTTTCAAAGGGAGGGCGTTTCATGGCACCCTTCATGAATCTAGCCCCGGCTGCCTTCTGGCTGCACTATACACTGCATGTTCCAATGCAAGCAAGCCAACGGGTTTCTACAGTTTGATGGAGCCAGGGCCCCTGGCCTTGCAACACGATCTCATCGGTTCCTAAAGGGAGCGGTTGAATGCGTTGCAGTTCAGCTAGATGGAAAGAATTCAGAGGATTTACGACGCAAGCGTTGCACAAGTGATACTGCACAAGAAACCGAGTGCAAGCAGCGCACACGCAGCAAGCAGCGCCGCTTGCGCAGCCGCTTGCGCGCTTCTCTGCGAGCGCTGCGCTGCTTACACAGCCACTGCTGAGTTGCCAAGCGCCGCTGTGCTTGAACTATGTTGCTTAGCTTAGTGGGGCTGCTTGTGAAGCGCTGCTCGCGTTGCTTGCGCAGATCTTCCGATCCGGATGCGCTTTGGCGATTGCTTGGGGCACATGGTGCCATTCTACAGAGACATCCGACCAACGTCAGCGCCTCGGCATTTCGGCAACTTCGTGCTTTATCTCAAGAAGCCGAATCGTTGTCACAACGAAAACAAGGTCATTTGTAGAAATAACCGGCTAAATGAATTCGGCTGCGGCGGGACCTTCCGACTGCGAGGAGAAGCCGTCGAAAGAGATTCCCAAAGTTCTAGTATCGCAAGGTTTCCGTGCAAAAGTGGCGCGTGAAGTGCGCTTCAGCTCTTTCGCAGCTTTGACTTGTGAAATTGTTGTTGACCCGGCTCGCAAATGCCCATGTTGTCCAAGAGCGCGAAGGGTGCTCTGAGAAGCCATCGCTTTTGGCAGAACCACTTTTGCTACATTGCGCAACACTCAGAGCAGGAGCCGCTTGCTCGTCTTTGGTGCTGCGTACGCCAGCAAATGCGAGCGGGGCGGTGCCTGGCTGCTGCCACCTGCCTGGTGAGTTCATGGACAAATATCTGCGGCCCAACACATCCGGGGGGAGGCCTACCAACACATCTGAAGGGGAAGGCCCCCCTTCGGGGCGGGCCCAAGGCACTGGGCCGCCGGCGCGCTTCAGCCGGTACTTCGGCTCGAACTTCTTGAGCTTCTCCAGGTTCTCGTAGATCAGTCCTAGGGAAAACTGATCCCAACAGCTTCACAAGCTGGCGTTGGGCTTGGCGCCAAAAACCGAGTTCAGCTGGGCCTTGGGGCGCCAAAACCCTGCTGTTTTTTCAGCTTGCCGTAGAAAGAATAATCATGATACTAATAAGAATAAGAAGAAGAATAAATAAATAAATAAATAAATAAATAAATAAATAAATAAATAACTAAATAAATAAACAAATAAAAATAATAAAGCGAAGAAACACCAGCTGTCGGGGCCGCTACTCTCACCCTAGGCAACCAGTTTTGGTTCCTGGCGCCGGGTTCCGGAGCTTAGAGTCGGGAAGCTCGCCGCATCCCCAAGCCCCCGGCGTTCCTCGCCCCTTGCCCTTTTCGGAGGTGTCCAAAAGTGGGCAAAACGAGCGTTCCAACTTTGCAACCACGAAACTGCCCGAAACCCCACGCGCCATGGCGGACAAAAAAAATGACTCCTGGCCTCCAGCCACCCAAACCTCAAGCCACTCCCCGAGAATTTCCCTCCGAGGCTTCGGCCGAAGCCGGAGCTGCGGCCGCCCCCGAAGGCGGTCTTGAAGCCGAAGAGCTGGATGCACTGCGCGTCGTGGACTTTGTACCTGCGCTTTGGGCGGTAAGGGCTGGTGCACTCTGCAATCCTAGGGTTGCGGCTTGCACCGCTGCGTTTAGGGTTTAGGGTTTAGGGTTTGGGGTTTAGGGTTTAGGGTTTAGGCTTCCGTTTTTTCTCGGGCGGCGAGGTGCGGGCGAGGTTTGGGACGTTGGGTGGCAAGTCCCCAAAAACCCGGCGCACGCAGATGGGAAAAAACCGACTCCTTGCTTTTTCTCCTGGTGCCCCACCCCTGTTTGCTTTCAGTGTGTGCTGGTTTGCTTTTGCCCCACCACAAAGGCTGGGAATCCAACCGGGCCTTGGAGCTTCGGAATGAGTCAACATGTGAGAGTCAAGCTGTATTGACCAGCAGCTTGGCCTCCGTCTGTGTGTGAGATTGATTTGGGGAGCATCGAAGAAAGGATGCTGGCAAATAACCCTCCTGACAGCCTATAGAGATGACCACATTCAGGGAGCATCTTAGAAAGTGGCAACCTGGCAATTTGCTGGTGAATGGCTTTGCGGCGCTTGACTTTCATGAATGCGGAAACTGGAAAAGGTTTCATAGAACCATGATACCAGGAGAATGCACCATGAGCCAAACAATATTCTGCCATGATACAGTGCTGCTGCCATGGTGCCGTGCTGCCGGGCTTGCAGAAGAGCGCATGTATTTCGCATAAGTTGGTTGGGCCTCTCGGACATCAGCTCTGACCGCCAAACCATCTATCTGAGGATTTCCCAGCATCAAAATGTCATAGCCACCCAAAATGAGGCGTTCCAACCATTGAAGAACCATATGGCCACGGGTCAAAAGCCCGGTTACCCCCAGTGAACATCCCAATCCAACCACTAAAATAGGTTCTAAAATGGGTGGTGAATTCACCTACCAACCAAAATGGGATCCCCTTTAACGGTTTTGACCACCACAGCCATATCTGCGCTGCAAAAGCTTTAAACCTTCGGCTTCAGCTCCGGTCACATGCTCTTCAGCTTGTCCGCCAGGTCCTTCTTGGACACCTGATACCAGTGTGATGTCCCGCGTTGTTCCGCGGACACGCGCTGAATCCTCTGAAAGAAAGTGGGTGTGGGTCAAACTAAAACCACCAGGAACCTGACGGCAGGTTGTAGTCCAAGCTTCCATTTACCAGGGTTCCATTTGGGTATATAGTGTTGACCCACAGCCAAGTGGGCGCAGTCAGTCTGAAAGGTCAAGCCTTAGTGCTCCGTTTGTTTACTTCCGGTCGGGCTGCAAAATGCCAGCTGTATCACAAACTGCACCAGCGGAAAGAGCCCGCCACATCGCTTGCATGCGTGTGTCTCTCTCTCTCTCTCTCTCTCTCTACGCACATACATCCTGTTCGCATCTTTTCAGGTTCCAAGTCGAACTTCTTCGTCAATGGACTGCCGTCTTGTAGTCGTTATTTGCTTGCTGCCCGTTGTTCTGTGGGAAAGAAACCCCTCCTCTAAAGTGCAGTCGAAGGTGTCCACTGAAATATGTCAGAATTGGGTACCGCCCAAAATGGTGTCGTTCCTGTTGAATTTCCTTCACTTAAACAACCTGAAAAGAGTACCCTCAAAAACAAGTGCATATATATATATATATATATACATGTGTATACATATATATATATACACATATGTATGCATATTGCTCAAAAACACAAACACACACACACACACACACAGACACAGACACAGACACAGACACAGACACAGACACAGACACAGACACAGACACAGACACAGACACAGACACAGACACAGACACAGACACAGACACAGACACAGACACAGACACAGACACAGACACAGACACAGACACAGACACAGACACAGACACAGACACAGACACAGACACAGACACAGACACAGACACAGACACAGACACAGACACAGACACAGAAACACATACAGAGAGAGAGGTCCCGATTCTTCCGAGGTCCCGGCATTCGCCATTCCAGGATGGATGATATCCAGCACGAACTGCTTGCGACCCAGCAGGGGGTTGCTCTGGAACCTCAGGTCCAATCAATTCCTTGCCGCCCGCCCGCCCAACTTCCGCCCAACTTGGATGACCACCTTCCACTCAAATGGCGAATATCCAAAGTTAATAAGTCTAAGTGGGGTTACACTCCCTCAGGCGAACAGCAGGAAGCTCCCAGCAGGCCGCCTGAAATGGAACCAAGTCTTCCAAAGGGGGTCCTGGGAACTTCCATGTTAGCCTGGGGAAGAGTAACCTCCGGTGGAATTCACCAGTTTTTGTTTTAGAGTTTTATTTATTTATTTTTATCTGGGGATATCGGCCAGGTCATCCAGGGTTCCTGGTATAACCCACGATCTGGGACTTCTCAACTGGGGATATGTATCACTCATTAGGTGGGGTGGTCATCCGAGCAGGGTTCTTGGCTAAATCATCCAAAGGCTGATTATCAGGACCCCAACAGTCGAAGGTCAGGCGCTGGTTGGAGAGGGGGGGGTGATTTTTGTTGATACAGATTCCTTCCGGCCTCGCTTAGCTCGTCATTTTTCATCAGGGCTTGGAAGCCAGGCGGGGGCCTGATAAAAAGGCAACCAAATGTCAAAGTCATGTGCCTGGGACTGACAAGGCATCCAGTGTGTGTGTGTGTGTGGGTGTGTATGTGGTGAGCTTTCAACAAATACTATAGGGCTTCCTTAGCGCAAAAGTTGCACATAGTCATCCTTGCCTCTTGCCGTCCGGGTGAACTGTCACCCAAAACATGTTTTCACTTGCCAGCCCTTCCAACCCGGCACAGCTGAAAACTCTCTCACTCGGGCCGCGGCTTGCGGGTACGAATGGTGAACTCACCCATGGTTGGCGGAGTTTGAATGCTGCCCCTCAGAATTGTTGCCTTGAGCCTTGAGCCAAACGAAGTGCCGCAGCATGTGCTCAAAACGACAACTCCCTGCCACAGGTGTCCTTTTAGGGGAAATAGATGGCCGTGGTAGATGATTAAACCACCAGGTAAACCAGGGCCTAGTGGTTTAATCATCTACCAGGGCCATCTATATTTCGACCAAAACAACCAAAAAGGACACCTATGCTCCCTGCAAATTGCCCCACCAGAAGGAGAAACACAGGAACCCTGCCAGCTGATGGCTCTCAAACAACATGCCATGGGCACCCACCATCTGTAGGGCGCATCGATTTCCTGGTTTGAGAACCGAAACTGTCCGGCTGTTCCTTGCGGCCGCTCCTCCAGCTGCCATGGGATGCCCGCCAGTTGGCCAGTGATCTGCGTGTCTTCAGCGGGCGCCGATACTAAAATGGTCTACCCAGAACCATGCTTCAAGAATCACGAAGCCGGGTACCCGCAGCTATTTCTGGCAAAGGGGTTGTCCCTTAAGCCTCATCTACCCGAATCGGCTTTGAGCAAGTGGCTCACCTTTGCTCCGATGGCTCTGCTTTGATTGCTTCTCTGCGCGCGCGCCTGGAGCCTTGGAGCCTTGGAGCCGGCAAGGAGCCAAACCGGAGAAGCCCGCGGCCAGCGATTCAACTGGGTATGGGTCAAAATTAAACCAGGAATCGGACCGCAGCTCTTAGACCATGTCTCCATTTACAAAAGGGCAACCCATGTCGCGCACCTACTTTTGACCCACGGCCAAATGTTGCTATGTACACAAGTCATAGTTAAAACCCTGGTATTTTCGGTGGTCTGAAGCCAGCACCTATGGTTGGCTGAAACTATTGTCGCCGCTCGAGCGAGTCAAATTCGCTTGGCGATGGCCGCCCCCACGCGGGAGCCCCAGTAAACCACCTGGCGCCGGGAACATGAGGCGAGGCTTGCCCAGGGGTCTTTTTAGGGGAAATAGGTGGCCCTGGTAGATGATTAAACCACCAGGTAAACCAGGAATCGCCATCTACTTGTCTAGCAAAACAACCAAGAAGGACACCTATGGACCTATGGGCTTGCCCAAATGATACCAGCCCATCCACTAACATGGAAGCTGACTGTCCTGGAAAACATGTTTCCTCTAAAATGGACCCTTTCCACGTTAGTTGACCAAAGGGTAAGCCATTTCCGAGCTTCGGCAAAGCAAAGAAATCTTAGCAAAGGCCAATCCTGTTGAGCTTGCTTCAAGTCACTCGAATGCGGGCAAGAATGACTTGCACTGGATGGGCAGTGACCGAATCACTTTGAAAAAAAAAAACTGTGGATGGACAAAGTTCTGTGCCAGTTGAGATGGATGAAGCCCTATGAATACTCGGTTAAACCACCCTATCAGAACTGGGTTAAACCACCTACCCACAGCCAGGTGTGGGTCGGAGGCAAGCGATGCCGGATGCACCGAAAATTGGACCGCGTCCATAACTTTCGCGAGAAAGCCTGGGCTTGCTCAACCAGTACCGAAGCCCCTCGAGGTGTGTTCTACCATGCCCAGCAGGGAAAGAAAATATTTGGAGCAAGCTCACAGGCTACCGCACGGCCAAACGCATTGCAAACCGCTCAAGGCGCCATTGCCAAGGAAACGAACAAGAAGAAGCTACGGCCCTGACTCGTAGGTCCGGCATGTGCTCTCTTGGCCGCATCCTGTCATCTTGTGGGCGCACACTCTCACACACACACACACACACAAACAAGCACAACACGGAGATCACACGTGAGCGTTGTAGTCCACCCCCCTCCCCGAACCGCTTTGTGCTCGGCGGGACGCACAATCCTCGCATGTGGCAAAGCATATTTCTCGCGGTGCGTCCTCTTTGTGCGCCACTTCATCAGCACCTGCGTGAACTGCTGCTATTGCCACCAAGCATTGTAGGCGTTTGGCATTACTGGTCAATTTGCCTGACCCATTCCGGACTCCCACATATGACTTTCCGAAGAAAATCCGTTTTCCGTGTCTCCATGTTAGCTTCCAGCGCAGAAAACGCAGCACCAAGCAGACGGAAACCAAACTCCTCAGGCTGCCGCATGCCGCGCGAAGAATCCCCAGCAAGGCTCGGTAGGCCTCCAGCTGTGAAATGAATCCCCTCGCCCACAAGATCCGTACGTCAAGCAGTTCCAGGATGGGAATACTGTGGTGCGTTGCTCTGGATGGCATGGATGGAATTTTGAGTGCTACTCCTGTGAAAAAAAAGTGGAAACAGAGCAGCCTTCCCATGGTGGCAGAAAGCTGATGCCGCAGGGCAGGAACATTGGAATTGGAGAGCAAAAACTCCCAAGTTTGCAGAGGCTCTGCTTGCATGCAATTGCCGAGTTAAGCTCCAGACTCATCTGCTTTGAGGTTTTGCGCACCCGTGGGTGGTCTCCCTCTGAGATCTGTTTCAAATCTCAAGGCCAACTCTAGTTATGCTTGGTGTCCCTGTGATTTCCCCGCAAAGCCACAAAAGGGAAGCTGTCGAAAGGGTCCAGAGTCCAAGCTTGAGAACCCATGTTTTGTGACTGGACAAAGAGAGAGCGAGAGAGAGCGAGAGAGAGCGAGAGAGAGCGAGAGAGAGAGAGAAAGGAGCGAGAGAGAGAGAGAAAGGAGTGAGAGAGAGAGAGAGGAGGAAAAAGGGGAAAAAAGAGAAAAGAGAGAAAGAGAGAAGGAGAGAAAGAGAGAAAGAGATAAAGAGAGGCAGAGAAAGAGACAGACAAGGAGGAAGAGAGAAAGGGAGAAAACGAGAAAGAGAGAAAGCGAGAAAGATAGAAAAAGAGAAAGTAAGAAAGAAAGAAAAACCGAAAGACAGAAAGACGGAAAGACAGACAAACAAACAAACAAACAGACAAACAGACAAACAGACAAACAGACAAACAGACAAACAGACAGACAGACAGACAGGCAGGCAGCAGGCAGGCAGCAGGCAGGCAGGCAGGCAGGCAGGCAGGCAGGCAGGCAGGCACACAGACAGACAGGCAAAACAGGGGGAAGAAACAAAGAAATGGATAAAGAAGGAAGCAAAGAACGAAGAAATAGAGAAAGAAGGAAGCAAAGAAGAAGAGGAAAGGAAGGAAAAATGCAGGCAAGCAAGCAAGCAAGAAAGAAGGAAAAACGGACAAACAGAAAAATCGAAAAAATAATGAAAGACAGACAGACAGACAGACAGACAGACAGACAGACAGAAAGAAAGAAAGAAAGAAAGAAAGAAAGAAAGAAAGAAAGAAAGAAAGAAACAAGGAGACTTCAAAAAGGTATCGGTTGGTTGACAACCACCAGCGTTGGGGAGGCGTCTCCGCGCAGCCCCAAAAAAAGGCACGCAATACCCGTTTCAGGAGGCTGCCAAGTAGACCCGTCTTTTGGCTGCGTCATTTTTTTTTGACTGCAATATGTTTGGTGCTGCCCTCAAAGGGGGAGACCAATTGGGTGTGGCTCAGAATTCAAGAGCAAGGCTTGCCCAAGTTGTGGTCGTCCTGTTACCGTGCCATTTTCGGTACCCATCGTTTGAGCCACAGCCAAACGGCCATGGGTCACAATCCCGTACCCCGAGTGAACATCCCAATCCCCACTAAAATAGACTGGAATGGGTGCACCTACCCCAAAATGGGATCCCAAAACGGCTTTGACCCACAGCCAATTGGATCACCGAACCCCCCCCCCCCCCCCCCCCCCCGGTTTTTGGGGGTCAGAGCGCTCCGCCGCCCCCCGCCTCCTCCGGCGAGCGCTGCTGCGCGCGCAGCTCGCGCTCTAGGCGCTGGATCTGATCCTCGTCGAATCTCATGCAAAGTGTCGTTTGAGGGTGTGGATTTTTTAGGGGAACCAAAGGAAAACACCCCAATATGTGTTTGATGTTTTTTTTTTGGTGGGGGGGGAGGATCTGCTTTGGCACAGACCAATTTTGAGACTGTGGTAAAGCAAGAGGGGAATGTTGAGAACCTCAAAATGCAACAGCAATTGCCGGAATGCGAATTTGTGGAAATGTCTTCAGAATGGCGCAATTCCAAGCGCTTGCGCTCCCAAGATTGTTTGAAGAAACCTGCCTCTGTAGGAAAAACAAATAGGTATCCCAGCAAAAAAGGGCCTCTCCTGATTCAATGAAGCCCTCAACGTTTGCTCAGACCCTGGCTGGGAAACGTATCGAAAGAGCCGCACCAAAGTAGCAAGTCCTTATGTTTTGGAGAGACTGAACATTTGAAAAGGATCCAACCTCGGCTGCTATGAGACTCGTTGTTCGACTTGACAAGACTCTCCAAGGCGAAAAGTCCTGAACCAATGCGCTGATCGAGGGTCCACGTCCAACCTCACGCCTTGGCCTCCGAGTGAACACCAAAAAAAGACAATGGCGGCTGTGGGCTCTGATCATTTGTAGGCATGACCCATGTCAAATGGCTGCCGCGATGATCCTCGGATTTTTGCACAAGAACGCGCGCATCCTGGTTGGTCTTTTTTTTGATGCGTATTGAATAGCCGAGAAACGGAAAGGATGAGCCGCGCTATAGCAACCAGTCGACTTCCAAATGAGCCCGAAGAGGCTTCGTCTACACAAACGCCTTTGACTTTCACCTAATGGGGAATACCCTCAAAAATCGCCCCAGATGGTGTCTTGGTTGACGTTGGAAGGGGAGCAAACATCTATTTTTTAGCAGTTAAGTGGGGATTTCCACTAAACCACGACAAGCAAAAATGCAAAATGTTTCCCAACAACAAGCATGAGGCCCACCGAAGGGTCCAAGCCAAGCTACAAAACCCTCGCCTCCCATCTCAGGGGCGGACACCGTAGTGCTCCTCCACGAAGGACTCCACTGCACGTGTGGTGACCTCGAAATCACCGAGGTCCCAGGAAATGGACAAACACCAAGGTGAACTACAATATTTCACCCACCTGAAACTTGTGGTGGTTGGGGGGCCACTCCCCACATAAACCACCATTTGGGGTGAGATCGCGTGAGGTCGTTATAATTCACCCAGACATATTATCCATTAGGTTGCGAGGTATTGTCCAGTACTTGTCCACGCTGTGGAGGGATAACATTCACAAACACAACAGTTGGGATGGATGAAGCCCCATGCTGGGATAGACCACCTACCAACTGGTGCAAAGTGGATGTTGTCCATTCGCAGGTCAAACAGTGGGTCGGAGACTGCAAACTTGAGGAGCCCGAGTCTCGTCAAAACCCAGGGGCACGGAGCGAACCACTCAGGAGCACATCCATTGATCTCAAGTGAAACTATGTGAAAACCAGCGATGCACTATGGCTAGGAAATGGGTGGACCCATGTTCAAAGTTTCATCCTTTTTACATGTCCTGCCTTTTCTTCTGCGATTCACCCAGCCCTTTTCGGGTGGAAAAAACAAAACACGGGCGGGGCACGGCACCTGAGATCCAGACATACATGCCGTGGTCTCCCCGGGCCTCAGCGCCGCAGTCCATTGAAGGCCCCCGCGCAGAGTTTTTGACACGTCGAGGTCTCGCTTGCTGTCCCGAGAGTTCAAAACAAAACGGTCTCTCACTTCCTGAGTGGATTGGTCAGAAGACGTCTAAACTTCATTGTTTACCACATATATGGTCGACCAAAGTTGAAAGTCCAGGAACTCAGGAGCGCGAGGATTTTCTGAAATTCTGAAAGGACATGCTCAAACATGAGATCCTGAGAAGCCACGCTCACTCTCACTGCATCGGCGTGACTGTCCAGGTGCCGATGTCCACGCACACCCAGCCGTGAGCAGCCGTGAAAATGCCTGACTGGAGTATGTGGTGGCTGTATCTGCTTCCACCACCCGGCAGCCATCACCCACCTGCCGTTTTCGAAATCCCAGCTAAACGATATCAGCACATCTGGAGCCTCTTGCATCGCATACTCGGTGTCCTGTGCCACACGGGCCAAAACATTCCAAAAATCTTCAGGAATTGCACGGAGCCGCAGTCCATGAAATTGCAGTGGATATGTGAAGTCTCCACACGACACAGGGTCAGCTATATTGACACCGCTGCGCACCCAGCCCCAATGGCCAGGCCACTGTTTCTGAGCGGCGATTGCCCCGAAACATGCTAAAAGGTTGTTCACAGCCATGTCACTCCCAAAGCCCTTTCGTGTTGCCGATAGTCCAGCTGTATTGTCAATGAATGAAAGCCACACGCTAGGAAGAAAAGAGCTCAGCAAGACGAGAGACAAGATCTGCCCAAAAATATCCAAGAAGTAAATGAAAGCCTTGCGCTTGCTAAACAAAGACAGGAAGCGACTGGGGACAGAACCATGACCCCAAAAACACTTGCCAGAAATTTCTGCAATGAATTTTTTGCCATTCGCAGCTCTGGACGCCGATGTCTGAGTCCAGGGGCCAACCGACAATTCGTCTCCAATAGAAAGCTGTTCACTTCCAATTGCGTAGAAGGCGTCACTGTAAACAAAGGAGCACAAGGTCGGCCGCAGCAGCGGCAACGACCTTGGTGGAGAATGTTCCAGAATGAAATCAAGGGCTTGGAGTGCAATTACCAGCGCCTGAGTCAACCGGCAATGATCGCCAGCTTTGCCAGCTTGCGTGCATACAAAGGGCGCAGCAGAGCGACCCCCGCTGAACCAAATAATGTGGTTGCCACAAAATTGAGCTTGCCGGCCAAGGCCGCACCTGCACAAGTTCCAGCACATTTGACTGTAGGATGTTGCCCATCATTGACCGCAATTCGACAACTCGTCCAGGGTCAACCGAAAGAACGATCATGTCGAGGCCGATGTCAAGCACTACACCCAGCAGGGTTTGGCGTGTTGCAGGGGGTTGCTCCTTTGTAGGTTTGAGGCGAATGCCTAAGGCATTGCACACATCCCGGGTTGTGACCCCTGCCAGGTCATCCACGTAGCGCAGTGTGGGCACGAGGGCCATGCAAAGCACTGCGTCTGTCTCTACTGAAGTGCCACACAGAAGGCGCAGCTCCGAATGGCAACACCCTGTGATGCCACAGGGTGGGCCCAAGCGGCGTGTTGATGATGACAAGGAAGTCAGCAGCATTTGCCACGGCATACTGCCAGAAAGCAGCTAGCAGGCCGTTCTCCCAGATTACAGGACAACCTCCCATCCCAGCCACAAAACCTCCCGTCTGAGCCACAAATCTGATGGGCTCCACGTATCATACCGCGTAACATCGTCGTGCTGCGGTACGTCTTCCGCATAAATTGCTTCATTGTAGTGAGAACGCTTCTGCTGCCCGTCGGAACCAATCTGAGATACATAAAATGCAAAGGCAGCGTAGACATGACTTGGCAATGGACAAAGGAAAACCAAATCCTGGCACATCCAAAACAGGAACGAACGTCTTCCTCCATTCATCAGGACTTTCCCCTGCTTGGCCTCCGTGATGATTTCTGCCAACAAATCTTGCCAATGGTTGTCAGGCCGGCTGTGGCGCAAACGGGAGCGTGTGTGCTCCAAGTTCATCACCTGGAACTGTTCAATCGAGATGGGGCTCCGGCAATTGTCATCAGCACGAGATGGAGCGCCTTGGGATTCAAACCTATATGCACTGTTGCTGCAAGCGCGCAGCCCTTGCCAGCAGCGGCCAGAGGGTCAGCCAAGCGGCCTGCTCCGGGGTCATCCGAGGTGAGTTCGCGTCATTGCGCGCATCCGTGGAAAACCCGGCTGACATGCTCATCCAGCACCCACGCACAAGAATTTCGCATCGCATTCTTGTCCCAGAGCGCCAGAACACGCCGCAAGATTGGAGTACGGTGTGTGGGTGGCGCTACGGTTCCTCTCGCTTCTACTGTGTGGCAGAGTGCCCGGTGGATAGTCGCCAGTGCAGACGATGGTTTGAGCTTGATTACTCAGAATCCTGTTTTTCCGGGGGAGCAACAGTGTCTAGCCAATCTTCCGCTTCCTCCACCTCATCTTCAAGTTCGTAAAAGTGGGACCTTGTGCAACGCAGACGCTGGGATCCATGATGACAGCCAGGTGGCTTTGCATCTTCTGCCCGGAGAGGTGAAGGAGGCCCTGCACTGGATGCCAGCTGGACACACCCGGGATGCAGAGGTGACTGTCAAAGCCAGGCACCGACTCTTGGCATGTGGGCGCGGCAAAGTTCTTGCTTGCTATTATCTTGTTCCAGGCTGAAGTGCGCGCAACCGCTGCGACATGGGCGCCCTTGAGGAAGTTTGACAGCGACACGCGCGCGTTGGCCAGTTTGGCAGTCGCAGCGTCCTTGAAGCGGGGCGGATATAGGTCAGCGAAGCAGTACTTCAACTCTGCTCTGCAACATCAGCAGAGGCATTTGCGCCAGCAGGTGGAACCTGCCGTGCGTCATGCCATTCGGGATGCTGCTTGGGCCATTTGGCGCGGGCTGGGCCCGGATAAATTAAAGGATGCCTTTGCTGTGTTCAAGCGGCTGTGTCCCCGTGAGACGTGGAGCCTTTTGACATCAAGAATGTTGCCCATTGCGCTGACATATTTACAGTTGCTGCTTGGTTCATGATGCGGGGAATCGAGTTGTCCGCTGCTTGCGTGGGACACCTTTACCACCGTGGTGAGCTAGTGTCAATCATGCTGCCTTCTCAGAAATCGGACACCCAAGGCAGCCTCACAGTAATGACACTCCGTTGCGCATGCCGCGTCATGAGGCATTCACAGCGCCCATGGCACGCGCCGCAACGTCACCTTCGTCGCCTTCAAGCCGCTGGAAGGGGCGGCTCTGGCAGGCCCTTGTGCCCACATGATGATGGTGGCGTGGCTACCAAGAACAAGAACCGCTTGGGGTTCTGAAGTGCAGCGTTTCCATGGGCATGTTCTTCGGGTAAGTGGAGCTCAGTGGCTGGCAGCAATGGGCCTACCTGTCCATGTGAATCAGTTGCAAGGAGATGGAGCAGCACTGCTGTAGAAATGTTCAGACCACTCCTTTGATTCACATGCCAGACATGGCTGCAATTGCCTTAAAGACTGGTCCTCAGCGTGCAAGTCCTGGAACCTGATGTGATCAGGCAGCCTAGCCATCCATGCGGCTTGGACACTGCCGTATTGCACCACAGCACGGCGAATAGCTTCGAGAGACTTGACTCCCGCAGTGACTATGAGTGGGGCGAATTTCTCACCCGGAGCACATCCCACACTGGCTGCATGACCAAGATCCAAGCGCAACGATTGATGGATGCCTTATGCAGGCAATGTTCTGAAATGCTAATCCTGAGAAATGGTCCTCAATGATACCGACCAGAACGATCAACAGTACCATGGCGAAATCCATGGCGTGTTGTTCAAACAAACTCAATCGAAACCGAGCTCGAGCCTGCTCTGCAGATGATCGGCTCTCACTTGTTCACATGTCACTACGTACATGCATGTACTGCATAACAAAAGCAAACTTGCAACCGAGCAAACGGACAAAGGCAAGTGCAAGAATCACCAGGAATTTCAGCAAAGTAATGTGATGTTGAGTAGTGGCATGCGAAATTGAATCTGATGCCTATCTATTCGATCGCTTTGGTCTCTGTGCATCTCTTTGATCTGATGGCTATTCCTCTGCAGAAGCAGTGATTCCCTGCAAGGCTCGCTGGCGTAACAAAGAGCTACCTATGTGCGGACCGCTGAAAACGCCCCCAGATGGCACCAGGGACAAACCCGGTGCACGTGTCGGAGGCCGCTTGGGGCCGCCGGCCGCGGTGGACACGTAGCCCAACGCCCAGCCGAAGGACGTGGCGGGCAGCAGGCTCCGCTCACCTCGCGCCCCGAGACGAAGCCTTTCTTTCCTTGGTGCGAGAGGTAGGTAGGTGGGGCATGACAACGAGTCCGGGTGTCTTCGAAACGGGTTTTGGGGATTCGCAAATAAAGGAAACCAAGTCGGGTGTTGAGAGCAGAGGGTCCCAGACCTCTCTGAAAGTGCCGATGCTTTGTTCGATCAAAAGTGGGACAGGTTCTCGATCTGATTCCCACACCTTTGGCCCGAACACCAAACCAGAGCAAGGCTGAGGAAAGGCGGTGGGAAGGCAGGGTCTGTGTGGCCAAGCTATGGGGACATAGCGCTGATCATGCAATCCAACCAGCGGTCTTGCGCCTCGCCACTGCGCACCAGCCAAAAGGAGATCACGCTTGACGGCGCCACCGGACTTTTTTTGACGGCAACTTCTTGCGCACTCAAAACCGGTCGCTCCCAGCCGAGCTTCATCTCCAAGACTGGCTACCGGCAGAGGCGCTTCGAGGACCGGTCCACATGGCGCTTCTCAATGCTCCAGCGTGGCATCAAGCTCGGAGGGAAAGAAGCGCAAGAAGGCTTGTGTTTGTGTGCACGCGCCCATTGCAACCTTCCGAACCATCAAGACTCCTACAGCCTCAAGCCTCCAAATCAGCATCATTTTGAAAATGATGACGCCTTTATTCTGGCTACAGACCACACAGGTCTAATTTCAGGGACTTAGTGTCTAACGCTATTTTCATATGCCCTACCCCATTCGAATTACTTCGGCGCTCATGTTCCGTCTGTGGAACGAAGGGCAAACTGCCCAGGCCCATCAAAACAATTGGGATCCTTCCCATGCCAGACCCGAAATGTTCCAAACCCTTTGTCTTTCTTTCACCTGGCCCATGAAAGTGACCCCAAACGAAAAGGCAGGAGTTTGGCAACACTTCCCTCCTGCTTTGGAAATTAGCCCACCCCAAAGAAAAACAAATCCTTCCTTTTCTCATGGATCCCCCGTTTCACCCAGAGAAAGATCACCCGAAACTCTCCAACGCCTCCCCCCCCCCCGCCAAACCCCCCAAACCGCCCAGCCCAAGCCGTTTCACCCGCGCGCCTTCGGCCGGGCACAGAACCTCCATGGCGCGCAAGTGCGCCTCCTCTGCTGCCTAACGTCCAGCCGGACGAAAGACGAAAGGAGGTCAGCTCAGCCACGAAGCCCGGGCGAAAGGGGCACGGAATTCACATCGCTCTCCAAAAAACACTCCGGTTCTGGGTGGTCATAAAGCCGAAAAGATGGCCTGGTGGGGTATATATATATATACACATAATATATATATATATATATATATATGTATATATCCCCTCCCACCCCTTTTCACGTGGAAGCTGACGGTCCTGGGTCCTGGTTCGGACCACTGTCCTTTAAAAAGGACCCCTGAACATCAGGTTCCCTCTGAAAAGGGTAGGGTACTACAGGAGCTCCACTTCAGGCTCGATATTTCAAAAAGATCACCCAGCTAAAGGAAGCTCACCTTACAGGGGCCCAAACTGGCTGAATCGATGGAATGAGAAATGGAATCAACCCGAGAAAAAACATCCAACCGAGTTGGGTTCCTTTATGCGGGAATCCCCAAAATCCGGTCATTCCCGACACCCGGTCTGGTCTTCGTTCCCTACCTATCGCACAAGCAAGTAAAGAGGTATATGCTTCATAGAAGCATACAGGAAACTCTATATTGGCCAGCCAACCGACCAAAACCAGGAAGCTCCTACAGAATGTCATGCAGCTGGCCTCTTAGAATAATTCAGCCAGTGCTCCTGACATTGAAGGCGTATCATAATATAATAATAATCAAGCATTGCTCCTGGCATTGAAGGTATATAATACAAGCAACCATGTCCCTGGGTACCATGTTCCTCAGTGATCCAAACCAGGAAGAGGAAGGGGTTCATCCAAAAAACCACGTAAAAGCGCCGTATCACTTCGGGTTGTGCCTGTCCCCTAAGCTTCATCTACACTCCGTCCCACTAGCATGACACCTGACAGAGGGCCCCTTGAAGAGAAAATCGATCTTGCTGGTACCCTTCCACAGGTGCCATGATAGTGGAAGGAAGAGTACGCGGGTTTGGTTTGGTTCGCTTATGTTTGAAGAAAGATGGCTTTTTCAGCTGCTTCGTCAGTGTAGTCATCGATTTTCTGAGCTGTTCTATGCGGTTTGCTGCCTACCTAGGGCTTCCAAGCATAGGTCCGGTCGATTTTAACATCAAGAATGTCATTTAAATGAATTTTAAAGTTAGGTCATTGAATCATTGCTGAATTAATTCATTAACTAACTAGTTGGTTACGATATACAATATAAGTAAGGATCGGGTTGGGAGAAGTGAGAAAAGAAAGAGCGATCCGACCCTCCGGTCCTTTCTTGGGCACATGAAGAGACTCGGCCTTCCCATCTGTTCTGATGAAAACTGCTGGAAGCATTGCTGCCTCGAAAGCCCAAAGGCGTTCGAAATGCACAGCCCAAGCAAGGCACTTTTTTCCAAAGGCGAAGGAAACGGCCGTGAGCCAACCCGGCTCCGGTTTTGAGCTACCTTTACTCCAGACACTGCACCTGTGGGGGGGTGCCTGGGTCTTCAAGGAACCTGCTCTCATGTCCCATGCTCTCATGTCCCATGTTAATGGGAGGGTGGGCTTTTTGGGCAAGCACACGGCTTCTAGCTGAGAAGTAGGGGAAAACAGGCCGTGGTGTCCTGCTTGGATGATCTGATTGAGGTGATGATCATTTCACATCCCTGCCTCGCGGATCCTTTCACATCCCTGCCTCGCGGGGTAACAGCGGCGGAAGTCCAGCCCCCAACCCATTCCCACCTTCCCAACAGCCAACCACTCCTGTTGTCTCAGGACGATCACACCCACTGAGAAGACGTACTTACAAAACTTCACTGAAACTACGAACAAGTAAGCTCAGGAGGGTACAATGCAAGCAAGCGGGCTTCCTTTTTCCAGTACATTCCACGCGATTGATTTCAATCGACTCTCAACGGCCCATCCGAATCCCCCCCCCCCCAGTCCGACGCGAGGTCGAGGCGCCGAGGCGCCAGGTGCTCCTCCACGAAGCCCCGCAGCGCCGCCGCCCGCTCCGGGCAGCTCCAAGCTGCGGGCGCCTCGAGCCGCGGAAGAGCGCTGACGGCGCCGCGGTAGATGGCCACCTCGGGGAAGGGAACCGGCCCTGGGGATGGGAATCTGGGGGCAGGGCCTGTTTTTGTACATGTTCCTTTGACCTGTGTTGAGCTCTTTCACGTACACCGAAGTCTTGGGATGGGAATCCGGAGGTCTATTGGAATGGGCTGTGGGTCACAAAAACATGTAGCAAAATGGCACCTTGGTAAATGGAACCAAAGACTAAAACCTGCTTAACCCTAGCTCTTCTTTTTGGAGCCTAATCTGGATGGAGTTTAATGGAATGGAATTGGACTCAGAATCTTGGAGTGCGAACCGGGACGGGAAGACCCTTCACATACCTCTTGTACATGCCCCGTTTGACATGGCCCTTGTGACATGCCTCTTGGAACATAGCCCTTTTAGTAACAGAGCAACACATGTCCCATTCAAGGAGGTTGGTTGTTGTCACTGCGGCACTGGCAAGAAATAGACCCAGAATCCTGCTTGGTTCCAGCGGGGAGGTTGGAACAGCACTCCCCATCTGAGACATGCGTCGCCCGCGTTCCAAGGTGCCTCCGCCACACGGATGCCTGCTATTCAGGAGCTCCAGCGTTTTACGGAGCTATGAGGTGTAAGCTGCTGTGGGTATGAATTCTTAATTACGAACCCTTTGATGGACATCATTTAGGTAGGGATTTGTGTCCGCCAATCACTTTTCAAGGGGGGTCCCCATTAAAATTCATGGGACCCTATAAGGTAACCAATACTTGTTGCTGTTTGCAGAAGTGCGCCACTATTGCAACTGAGCATGGATTGCAACTGAGCATGGATTGCAACTGAGCATGGATTGCAAGCGGTGAACATGGATCTTGCCTTCTGAGAGGATATTCGGTACCTAGACTCCGAGACCCTCTAGGTATAAACTCGGAATGACACACAATCAAGCTCTCGGAGGAAATGGGCAGAAAGTCTACGGAGATCTCCGCAATCAAGGCCGATGTTGATTTCAGGTTTGGAAAGTCCAACAAGGCCCCCCCCCCTATCTTATACCTGGGAGTCAAAAGGTTTAGCCATGAATCCTTCAAGTAGCATTGGCTTGGATTGGTGGAGTCAGGGAAGGGTCCAAATCCCCCAGCAGCCAAGGCGAAGCGAATCCGCGGCCCCCGCGGCCCCAGTCTCGCCCGCCCAGTTGCTGCGCATCTCCTCGGGACGCGGTGCGCATCTGTCGCAACCTGCAACATGGCACCTGACAGTGGGGTCCTCGTAGGCAACTGAGCTTCCAGGTACCCTCCCACAAATGGGCTACGTTGTGGGAAGGGGAAGTCTCAAGATTGGGGCGCCCAAACATGGACTTCAAACAAACAAACAAACAAACAAACAAACAAACAAACAAACAAACACACACACACACACACACACACACACACACACACACACACACCCACCCACGCACGCACGCACGCACGCACGCACGCACGCACCCACCCACCCACCCACCCACCCACCCACCCACCCACGCACGCACGCACGCACGCACGCACGCACGCACGCACGCACGCACGCACGCACGCACGCACGCACACGCGCACGCGCACGCGCGCGCGCGCACACAACACACACACACACAACACACAACACACAACACACAACACACAACACACAACACACAACACACACACACACAACACACACACACACACACCGCGACACGCATGCACGCGGTGTCTCATATTGGGCATTCCGGACTTCAGCTCCCGGGAATCGGCGCAAGAAGCGCCAGTCAGGCCAACCGCGCGTTTCGTGCTTCTGGGGGTTGTCTCCAAAAATGGCAGGGGTTCCTCTTGGTTCCCAGCGCACCTCCCAAAGAGACCTACGAGACTCGAGACCATATGGGGCAATGATTGTTCTTGATTTGGGGACACGGACATCATGTGGAAGGAAAAAGGATCATATGAGTGGTTCTTTTTTCTTGGGGACCATATGAGTGGTTTCCCATTAGGGAAAATAGCGGACATCAAAAAAAACGCAGTTGTTCCCTGGAGAAAACTCGGACATCTCTTAACAATAAATATATGTATATACGTATGTGTATATATATATATATAAAGCCCGCGGTGCCCGCGTTCCTTTTTGCAGGAGACAACCCGATCGCATCCGCAGTCGCCATCTGGGCTTTCGGCAGCTTGGAGCCAGGCAGGCCACGGCTTGGACCTCGCTCCGCCGTGGGTTCCCGGTGCAAAAAAATGAGTCCCGTGTTTTTTTCTTAAACCACCCGCAAGCCGCCCAAGCTCATGATTGGTCCGTTTTATATTTTTGGGGGGAGTGTCCTTTTTTGGGAAGGCCGCGGCTCATGATTGGTCCATTTGGGGCTTCGATTTTTTGGGAAGTGTCCATAAGTTCACTTTTGTGGCGTCGATGCTTTTCTTGGGGGAGAGTCTTTTGGGAAGGCCGCGGCTAACCGAAACTTGTGGGCGCGGTGGACAAATTGCGCAAGGAGCGATGCGTCTCCGCGCAAACAACTTCTGTCCTGGAATCTAGGGTTCTTAACCAGAAGACACCGTTCATGGCTGGGAGCCGCAGCAGATATGGAGCATGTCTGGCTTCCCAAAGTGGATGCAACCCCTTTGTGGCAAGATCAGCCCCAAATCGAGGCCGCAACGCGAACAGAGCTGCCGGTGCGTCTTGGAGGTAGGCGAATTACGGGACCCGAGGGCGACACCGGCACGCGAGCTGCAGCAAATCCTCTCGGCCGCCCGTCATGGACCCTTTGAGAAAGCTTGCTGAAGTGGTTTGGAGATTTGAACCCCTGGTTCTTGCAGAGGGTGAATGGAAAACCGTTCCCTGACCACCAAGCCAATAAACCACAAATAAGGGGAAGCAGACTATAGATCTTTACAACCAGGTCGCTAGAGTTGGGCAGGACACTAGTCAAGAAGTGCATGCCTTTGCATCCATCAGAACCGCTTCTCGCGGTGAGCCCTCCGCGGATTAGTCACGTCCGCGATCTCATGGACTGTCAGAGAAGTCTACAGGCGGTTGTACAAGTTTGCAACTGTTGCTCTTGGATCCAATATCCCGGAAGGTAAGCTGCCTGTTGGTGTATTTGTTGTGCCGAGGTTACATGTAACACGCAGCAGTGTCTGCAGTTCCTTCACCAAGCCTCGGAGTGAGAAGATATGGACATGGGAAAGATGGGAGCGGACATGCGAATGAACGTCCCCCCGAAGACCGCCCAGCATACGATGGCTCGGACCTCAAATCCATCGACACACGTGCGCAAACTCACATATATCAAGAGAGGGGCGCACAACGAAGCTTTACACACGCTTAGTGAGCACCCCCCGGTGCCTGGTATCATTCGACCCAGCCGTCCGTGTCGATTCCGCACGCCCCTCCCCCCCCCCCGGCCTCGCTGGCCTGAAAGCTCCCGTGGCGCGTTAGCGGCTGCGCCTCTTGGCTCCGGCCGGAAGCGAAGAGGCAAAGAACACCCAGGGGCCAGCTATGGCCACCAGGGGGAAGCCAGGGGAAAACCGCTCTAAGCCACGGGAAAACGTGAGCCAGGGGGAAACCAACGCCACTTTGCACTGGGGTCGATCGATTTTTGAGACACAGATCTTCTGAGAAAGACCACCCATCTCTATCGGGGATGAACTCTCTCAAGTGGTTCCAAAATCAAACCAAGAGGAAGTCAACAAACAGGGCTCCCTTCCTTACCCTTTGAAACATCACCCCAAAGCAAACCTCACTCTGGCCCTGAGATGTGATCTAGCAAGCCACCCTTTAACCCTAGCAAAAACAAAACATACCCTACCGAACAGGGTTCTGGGAATTCCCCACTGCGATACTGGGAGGCCTTTCAAACGACTAATTAATCAATGAATTCTCCATTGGAAGGGGGAGGTTTTTTGGGGTATCGCCGTCAGAAAAAAACAAAAAAACTGGACGTGTTTTGGGGTATCACAATCAGGTTTTGGGTTTCTTGTTGTTCCCACAAACCCAGGGGACCTCACCGGCCTGGACACGGGCCCGGAGACGCGCGGCCATGGCAGAAAAATCGAGGCCCCGCCGAGGCTTTTCTTCGGAGGCGCCGAAAATTGGAGACGAAAATCGGGCGTGGCGGTTTTGGTTGGTCACCCGTTCTTAGGGAGTCCGCCTCTTCTCTTTTCGGTCCGCCTCCAAAAAGCGGGGAACTCCGGTCTGCGGGGGGCCCCAGGGACCACAAGCATTTTGAGGGTGCTGTGAAACCCAAGCGCTGTGGGAATGGGGGAAATGAAAGCGCTGCATGTTCACCTTCTTGGGAGCAAGATGTTGAGCGCGCCCTTGGAACTCAACGGCCTTGAGCAATGAGCGACCGCCCGGGAGGAATGTTGGGCGCAGGTTGGGCGCGTAGTGCGACGCGCGGCCAAAGGTTGAAGGATGTGGAAGAGGCTACAAGACTAATAGCCAAATTGCCGGGAACTGCTGAAAAGAAAAGACGTAGCCCTTCCGATCCCCTCATGCATCGTGGAAAGCCGCGGCTCAGAGCCAGTTGAAGCACCTCCCATATCCGGTCAAGGCCTTTTGACCATGGCCGATATGAAGAGGAAAGCCCCTGCAAACATGGCATCCTAGTGGAATGGATCACATATCATGTACAACGCAAACTCGAGGATCTTGAGGAAGTCGTCTGGCGATTTGCGCCTAGATACCCTCCCACCAATTAACATGGAACCTGACTGGGGCTCCCTTTAAAAGGAAGATGGTCTTCCAGGACTCCCCTGTCAGGTTCCATGTTCATTGGTCGGAGGGTAGTTGTGTCTCGCATTGAAAAGCATCCGATCTGAGGCCAATGCCTCTGAAGATGACCGCTTGGGGGTAGCAAGGTCGATTGATCTCGGAATTCGCGTCAGAAGTTCTTGTGGGAAACCAAAGGATGGTATGAAATGGTGAAGGCCGGACTTCTAGTCTCACTCCACGGGACCTCAAGCGGTACATGCTTTCTTCGTTGGACATGACCGTCACCAAACGCCGCATTGGTTGCCGCTGGCATTCGCCAGAATTGCATAACAAACGGCCAGCTCCAGCCCCCTCCCAGCAAAATGCGCAGACGCGCCGCTGCTTGGCAGGGTTATTTGGCGATCACCTCCTCTGGGTCTCGGATATGTACAAAGCAGGCCTTGGCCGAATTGCCACGGCCCTGCAATCGGCAGCTCCGCCTTTTGCTCAACGGCTGTGGGCGTCAGGTGTTCAAAAGTGATTGGGCCAAACACAGCCTAGCAAACAAATGGTGATGTGGGTGTTTCTCAAAACTGGTTTGAGACAGTCCCATATGAGCGTTTCTCAAAATGATGGACCCCCTTCGGTTGGTAAAGGGAAACCCAAAGGACTTTGGGGGTAGATCGATCGCCTTGATCTTGATGCCTCAACCTATTGGGGACGCTTAATCTCTGTCCACATTCCGGATGGCACTCTTGCAAGTGGACATGGAACCCAAACAACCACACAACCAAACAACCACCATTTCCAGGTTCCTTCGGAATCTCCAGGGCCAGCCACCTTGTAACGTAAGTCTGGGGGCCAGCCACGACGGTCCCACCAGATGCCAACAGCCCCGCCGAGCGGTCACCGTCACCGCGCGTCCTGCGCGCGCTGCTGAAGCCGGGGGGGGGTCTGGGGGAATGGAACCTCGGCCCAAAAGGGCGGAAGGGCATGCAAGCTGCAGGCTCACATTTCGGTGTGGTCAAAACCCACCAAAACCCCCCTGGTGAACATCAAAAAATTGGTGGAAATCAAATGGAGGCTCATCCAGCCCAAAATGGAGCCATAGGTTATGCAACCCATGGCCATTTGGAAAGCTACATCACACATCCTTCCACCGCTCCCAGGCAGCACTGGCTTTTGGGGTATGATTCTGGGGCCCAAACGCCATGCGCCACCTCTTAATCAATGGCTTGGGATGGCATGCAACCTGGGAACGATGGATGATGGACTAAATAAAGAAAAAACACCAGTGCTGCTTCTGCTGCGGCTACTGATGCTGCTGCGCGACTACGACGACGACTAGCCCAAGCCATCCAAACACCACATTGCACGAGTAGGAACAGCAGAGTGCAGAAAGTGTGTGCGTGTGTGGGTGCCCCAAAAGAAGACAACCCAAAACGACCCGATTCGAGAAAACATGTGGCAAGCTACCCCTGGCAAGTTACCCTCGGCACCTCCATGGCCGGCTCATCATCCCCTGCCTGGCCAGAATAAAAACATCCGTGGCCCTCGGGCGGTCCAAGTCCAATCTCCAAAGTTGCTTCGCCAAAACTCGGCGTCTTGTGTGAAATTGGAACGAAAATCCTCTCTGTTGCATGCAGCAAGCGGTGCTTTGGTCCAACTTGTGCAGCTTTCTGAGACGGCATGAGCGCTCAAAGGTCCCAGGGATCCCTGGATTCATCAACATCATAGAGCGAATCTGGCTTTGCCTCTGGGTCGTTTCTTCAACATGCGTCACCGGTCAACAAACATCCACAAGCATCCAGAGAACCAGTGAGCCTAAGCAATGGGTTTACAAAAAAGGCAAAATGGTTTGGACAGTGCAACATGTTGGGGATGAAAGCAAAACGAGAGGATGAAAGCAGTGAACCCTGCTCGCAAAAAAAAAAAAGCAAACAAAACACACGCCAGAACAGCACTCGCAGGCACAAAAAGTATATTTATCTTACATGCAAATGGGGCGCCCTTTTTGGGGGTTGGGTCAACTCACGTGTTCAAGTCTCAGACTGCCAAATCTGACCTAGCTTGCCGGCGCGACTCCGCTGTTTCCCCGAATGTGTGCAAGGTATGGTGGAAGAAATGACATCAAGATCGTTCTCCCTGCATGCATGTCCTTGTGTCGCCCTTCTTTCTGAAGTCAACAAACAAATCGGTCTACTATCTGGCACTCATTATGTGAAGGGCTTAGGGTGGGTTTTAGGGGGGAGGGTTGGGGTGGGTTTAAAATGGGGTTTAGGGCAGGTTTGGGATAGGTTTAGGCTTGTCTTGCTGCTGAACATAATTTCCAATCCAGCGGGGACAAACAGCATAAATAATGCAGCACCCTTTAGAGGCCACACATGGGCAACCAAATCACCTCGGGTTGTTGAAAACTGGGGGGACAAACTCTGCTGAGCCGATGTCCCAAAAGGGTAAGAGCTGCCTCCATTTGGTTCAGACCCGTGGGTGGAAAAAAAAACTTCCAGTAGTGATAGATTCGCTTTAAATTAAATCCAACAGGGTAAAATCATGTAATTAAAACAAACAAAAAAAAAGCCTGCCCCCCACTCCTCTGTCTCACGTTCCACGACCTTCGGCGCACCTTGCATTGTGAACACAAGTTCCCTCGCCTCGCACAGCGCGTCCGCTGCCGCCCAGCTCTCCTCGCCACAAGAACGAAGGGCGGTCCGGGAAGGAGGACCCTTCGCACTCGTATATTCGCGCGAAAAGAATATATATATATATATATATGTATATACAGATACATACATACATACATATATAGCACTTCCGCAGTTCGTCGGCTCTGTGGCCGTGTTTTGCCGCTCAGCCCGGGGCAAGGTTGGCCGGCGGGCCCTTGGGCCATGCTGGCCGATACCCGAGGGCCTCGAATACTATGCACGCTGACCGCGGTATCAATGTTGCGCTACGTCCTGTGAAAAATGTTTAAAGAGGCAGAATATTCCAACACCAAATGCAAACAGCAGGGATACCCCGCTTAGCGCGGCAAATATCTTGACATGGTGGTCAAACATTTCGTCAAGGGCTTGCCTTCGGATTGCCTTTCGGAATAGAGCGCCTTCTGACACAATTGACGCACGTCCCGGAACGGCAGCAAAGGAGACAAAAGGTAATAGTTATGGCCGTCGCTGGGGTCCACTTTTCGCAGCCATTTGCGGGGCCCGTCCGCATCGGCGTCTTCCTTCAGGGCTCGTCCGCCTCGATTGGTAGGCGCCACAAAGATCAACCGCTCAGCTCATCTGCGTCGCGTGAGCTTTGTCACGTTCGTTCCTCGCTGCGACAGACTCGCCCATCTTGCAGAAATCCTGCGACTGTCGCCCTCTGCCCTCCAACATGAGAAACGCATGAGCAGCTGGAGCTCCGGCAGTTCAGGACAAAAGCACGTTCGTCGGTCAAAATGGCCATGGGTCAAAACCCCGCACCCCCAGTGAACATCCCAATCCCCACTAAAATAGACCAAAATGGGTGGTGCACCTATGCCAAAATGGTACCATTTGTTTGAACCATGGCCAAGTCACTGCAAGGCTTTGCTTTGTCGTTTCAACTGCGCACTGCTGCACTCCCCGTCAAGTGGCTGGCCGCTGGTCACGCGACTTTGTCTTAGCTTCGGGATTGACGACAACTTGTGCTTGGCTTTGGCAAATTGCAAATGCCCGTTGATGACCTTGGTGCTCTTTAAGCTGTCAGGCTGGATTCACTGCACCCCTCATATATGTGTATTTGGGAACATTTTGGGACACCGCCACCCTGTTTCGGACCTTTTGGGGGCCCCAGTGTTGGGATCATCCCCTCCTCCACAATCTCCGTGACCCGGCGGTTGTACTCTCGTCGGTTCTCAGACCTGAAGCTGGCGCCCCCGAAATTTCTGGCCTCCTTTTGGTGAAGGCGGTGCTTTGAATGGCCAAACCGTATCTCAGAAAGAAGGATCAGCCTTCCCTGCTCTGGGGGCTTGGGAATTCCCAGCCTTCGGGAATAGCAATCACTTTACACATCCCAATCAAGGATCTGATCGCCCGTAGTCTGCGGCGGGTGATATAGTACACACATGAGAATGTCTTATACAAAGACATAATATATCGATCCTATTTCAGGATGGCATTCGTCTAACCGGGAATCTGGCTGAAAGCCCCACAAACGCTCCGCACCTGGAGTCCACCCGGAAAACGCGGGAAGAAGTCCCTGCGGGCCCGGCCAGAGCTTGGCCGCTTCGCTGTTCGCTGGAGAGTTCGGGTTGGGGTCCGTCAGCAGGGACTGGCGGGGTGCGTGAGCCAAGCAGGCCCCAAATAAGCAGAGGAGTGTTTAGAACCTTTAGAACCTGGCTGGGTTCTCCCACAGCCTCTGGGGTGTGTGGGCCCAACTG